AATTGGGAGAGGGGGGAGGAGGATGAGGAGGAGCAGGAGAAGGAGGAGAAGGAGGAGGAGGAGAAGGAGGAGGAGGAGGAGGAGGAGGAGGAGGAGGAGCAGTCATCACCAGGCTAAAGGCTCGCACTCCTCCTCGTCCTCGTCGCCGCCGTCGTCGTCTGCGTCGGCGGTGATTCCGGATCGTCCCGCGGCTTGCGGGTGGGCGGCCTTGGACGTGCTGGGGATCGACCGCTTCAGCGACGTCTGCTTCCCCCCCAATGGCTGCGTTCGCATGCCTCCCCCACACCCATTTCGGCACACCCCTCACACGCTTCGTGGCCTCATAGGGAGCTCCATGGCTGCGTTCGCATGCCTCCCCCACACCCATTTCGGCACACCCCTCACGCTTCGTGGCCTGATAGGGAGCTCCACCGAGGGCCTCAGTGGCTGCGTTCGCATGCCTCCCCCACACTCATTTCGGCACACCCCTCACACGCTTTTCGAGCCTCGATCTCTCCAAAATCATGGCTCCCGCCATCTTCTGGGTCGCCGTGGGTCCCTGGGGCGCCAGACAGAGCCGGAAACCAGGATTTCGGGCTTCTCCAGCCTCGATCTCTCCAAAATCCTAGTTCCCGCTATCCTCTGGGCCGCCGTGGGTCCCTGGGGCGCCAGACAGAGCCGGGAACCGGGAATTTAGGTTTTCCCAGCCTCGATCTGTCTAAAGTCCTGGCTGGTTCCCACGGTACGTCGGCGGAGGGATGAGGAAAGTGGGCAAACGCGACAAACTTCGCCCATCGCCGTCCACACACCGCATTTGCAGTTTTCGCTCAACCATGGCATCGACGCCGCCTTGCGCCGCGGGGGCGGCGGCCGCCGCTGGAGCCACGCGCGCAGGCGCTGCTGGCGACGCGCGCGGGGCGGCCGGCCCGCCGCGGCGTCTCCTGCTGCAGCCTGCCCCCGTCGTAGCGCCACGGACCCGCAGCCGCAGCCGCGGGAGTTCTGGGGTGCCGCCCACTGCGCTGCCAGCGGCCCGGCCAGGGAACCCAGCCTCAGCCGCGCCCCGAGCAGCGCCACGGAACCGCAGTCGCAGCTGCGTGAGAATTGGGGTGCCGCCCGCTGCGCTGCCAACGGCCCGGCCAGGGAGCCCAGCCACAGCCGCTTGCGCGCCGCCAGCGCGGGCGCCGATCCGCAGCTGCAGGACCAGGAGCGGCGCGCCGCCCGCGGGGCCACGAACTTCCGCGGCGGTGGCAAGAGGCGCGGGAGCAGAGGTCGTGGCAGCTCAGATGCCCGCGTTGCCTGACGGAGAACCTGGCGGGGCAGCGACAGATCGTGTGCGCCCGAAGTTTGCGGGCGCGCGGAGGCGCTTGCGGGGTGACGGGCGCGTGCCTGTCGTCGACCCGCCCTTGGTGCTCGCAGTTGAGGACAGCCCTATGCCCCCTGGCGCCGTGGCTCTCGCGGAGCCTGCTGCCGTGGCCGACGCGACGCTCTCGAGACTCTGTTTGCCGTTGACAGAGCCCGCCGCCCTCGCGCTCCACGTCGCCGAAATGTGCGCGGCCGACGCTTCGCGGCCTGGAGTTTTGAGTTTCGTTCGGACGGCGTGGGAGCAGCGCTCAGAGCAAGAGGCGGCGTGATTTACTCAGGAGGATAAGGAGGACAAGGAGGAGGATGAGGAGGAGGAGAAGGATGAGGAGGAGGAGGAGGAGGAGGAGGAGGAGGAGGAGGAGGAGGAGGAGGAGGAAGGGGAGGAGGAGGAGGAGGAGGAGGAGGAGGAGGAGGAGGAGGAGGGAATCGTCCTATCGTGGGTGAATAAACGTGGGTGAATAAAGGCGGCGTTGAGGTCTTGAGTGGCGGCCGCTGCACCGGGCGCGTCGGGTGCCACGCCAACAGAGGACATTCTTTCATTTTGACAGGTTGTTGGGCGGGCGCAGAGGCTGGGCGGGATGCGGCAGTCTATGAGCTCAGCGTTCAGGAGAGAGGTGATCACGTTGGAGCGGCCAGGCTTCTGAGGGCGAAAGCGAAGCATTCGGCTACCATAGAGCAGAGGCGCAATGCGTTGAAGGCCGCCCTCCGTCTTGCCAAGATCGGCGCCCTCACTCCTGGGCGAGTGATGTTTGAGTTGACTGGGTCCCGTCCCCCGAAGCCCCACCCCCCCGCCAAGTCATTGCGCGGCTTGGTGCGGTGGATTCGCCGCGCCCTGGGTGTGGACCAGCGGCGCGGACACTGCAGGTGGCGGCGCGCTGGCCTCGCGACGTGGTCGAGCGAGCTTGAAGCCGCGATCCGAGGGTACGACGACGACGGGCATCGTGTCGTGAGAGCCTCTGCGCCCGCCGCCGCCGTGATATCGCTCGAGGTGATATTCCGATCGATGTGGGCGTGGCTGGAGGAATTGCACGTTGGCGGCGTTGCCGTACTCGAGCCTCGGCGTGGACCACGCCTTCAACGTGGAATGGCAGGCTACTCTTGGGCGCTGCTCGGGGCGAACGTCCACCGCCAGTTGGGCGGCGCTTGGAGGAAGACGTCCGTGCCGCTAGTGGCTATATGCAGGCCTCGTGAGTGCAGGGGGAACTACAATCAGCTGGTCCGAATCGCGTCAGCAGAAGCCGCCGGGCGCGGATTGCCCGCGCCGTGCCAAGTGGCCTCCGATTATTTCGGCGGCGTCCCCTCGGCGTTCCTTGGCGTGTTTCCGAAGCAGGTTGTCGTCGCGGGCTTGTGGCATCTCTACAGCAATCTCGTGAACGTACAGCAATCTCGTGAACGACCAGGGCGGCAGCAAGAAGGAGAAAAAACAGAAAGCGGAGGGGCCGAAGGTCCTTGGTGTGCCCATTGGCGCAATCAACAGGTGCGTGCGCCAGTCATCCGCGCTCCCGACTGGCTTCATGTTCCACGTTTGCTGGGGCCAGAAGTTATGGCGCATCGAGAACATCTGGGGTGCGAGCGCGACGTGGTGCCGCTACTTCGAAAAGAGGTACCTGGCGCGCTTTCAGCATCAGAGGACGGGGGGGGAGATGTGGAGGGCCCGCTGGCATTGCGGGCTCACGAAACCGTCCAAGAGAGGGCGCCCTGCGTCGCAGCAGCCGGCCGAGCAGGGCAACTCCAATTTCGAGGCGAGCCTCGCGCGAGTTCGGCAGGTGGCCAATATGGTCCAAGTTCTGAGCTGCGGAAAGTGGCGGCCAAGTGGGCCTCGGCCCCGCCGCGGGTGGAGAAGTCATTCTCGTTGCGGGCGCCGCCAGAGAGAGCGGGCTCGCGCCCGCGCGCGCCCGACGCTTGGATGATGGATTCGGGCCAGACCGTGCATGCCCTCTTGTTGGAAGCCGAGGGCGCCTGGCACGATGGCGCCAAGAGGGCCGATGCTTGCCGAATGCCGTCGATCAAGAGCATCATTCGCGCAGAGAAGGCGGGGCGCGCGGCTGGCGCCCTCGCCGCGCGCCTCGCGCGCAAGGTGGCGTCGGCGAACGCGTCGTCCGCAGCGGGCGGGGCGCCCGCGGCCATCTACGCGATGCGCGCGGCGCGCCCTGGCCCCGTCACCCGGGACTTGGCCGCGCAGTTCGCGGCCCAACTCAGCGTGCGATGCGTGTCGGAGATGGTAAACGCGTGGGTGGACTGCAAGGTGTTGAAGCCCAGCGCCGGTCGAGCAGGCGCCCTGCGCGGTCGATTCGGGTGCCTTGAAGGAGTGGTGGGGCATGCGCTGCGCTCGGGTGGTGCGCTCTGAGTCAGCGGGCGTGGAGAGCGCGTGCGCGCTCTTCTGGAGTCGCGGACACTGCCCTCGCCAGTGCGCGATTGAGCAGCTTGAGTTCGGAGTGCAGCGGGTCGGGGAGGAGCGCCCAGAAGTGGGGGGGGGGCGGCCGAGGCGCTCGTAGAGGCGTTCGAAAGAGGGCCGTCTGCCGTGCCGTAGCGCAGGGCGAGCGGCGGTTGAGGGCTTCTTTTCTCAGCCAGAGTGGACTGACTAGATTTAGGGCAATGGCGCGGAAAACATCAAAGAAGTCATAGGGGACGCCAACGGCGAATCACCGCCGCCCCATGCCTTTCTGGAAACGGCGATGTGGCCGAAAGTTGGGGGAGAGCTTGGCCGTGCTATCGGGCGTTGCGCTCCCCGAGTTGGTTTGGAATGCTTTCGGGGAACGCGTGGGGGATAATGAGCGCGAGGAGGAATTCCTGGGAGCTTCCTCGGGGCCTCTTGGAGGCTAGTTGGGGCTTCCTCGGGCTTCCTGGGTGGCCTTTTGGGGCCTCGTGGGGGTGGGGGTGGGGGGGGGGCTCTGAAAGTATGCAATTTTATACATGCTGAAAGCTGCCCAAGTCTGCGGCGCCATAGGGAGCTCCACTTAAGGCCCAAATGGCTAAGCGCACGTGTTTCTCCCCACTCACCGTATGTCCATTTCGGCGCGCCCAGTGCAGCGTTTCGTGGCCCCATAGTGAGCTCCACTGAAGGCCCCAAAGGTTACGTTCACATGCGCCCCCCCCCCCCCCCCCGCGCACACCCCGCTCCGCCCCCGGCACCGCGCCCGCCAACCGCAAGTCTATTTCTGCACACCCAGTGCAGCGTTTCGTGGCCACATAGGGAGCTCCAGGGAAGGCGCCAACGGCTAAGCCCACATGCATTTAACCCCCTCCCCCCCCCGCATGTCCACTTCGGCACACCCGCTAGAGAGTTTCTTGGCCCTGTATGGAATATGGAATTCCACCGAAGGCTTCAACGGCTAAGTCCACATGCGCACCCCCGCCCACCGCATGTAAATTTCGGCACACCCAGTACAGCGTTTCGCGTGGCCGCAGTGGCTGCGTTCGCATGCGCCCACCGCGCACATTCTGCCACATACCTCACACGTGTCGCGGCCCCATAAGGAGCTTCTCCGACGGCCCCGGTGGCTGCGTTCGCATGCGCCCACCGCACCAATTTCGGCACACTCCTCATACGTTTCATGGCCTCAGAGGGAGCTCCACCGGCGGCCGCAGCGGCTGCGTTCTCATGCGCCCACAACACCCATTCTGGCACACCATTCACACGCTTCGTGGCCCGATAGGAAAAACCACCGACTGCCCCAGTAGCTGCGTTCGCGCGCGCTCACCGCACCCATTGTGGCACACCCCTCGCACGCTTCGTGGCCCCATCGGGAGCTCCGCCGACGGCGCCAGTGGTTGCGTTCGCATGCGCCTACCGCAACCATCGTGGGACACCCCTTACGCGTTTTGTGGCCCCATAGGGAGCTCCACTGGCGGCCGCAGCGGCTGCGTTCGCACGCGCCCACCGCATTCATGTCGGTACACCCCTCACACGCTCCGTGGCCCCATAAAGAGCTCCACCGACGGCCCCTGTGACTGCGTTCGCATGCGCCCACCACACCTAGTTCGGCACACCCTCACGCGCGTCGCGGCCCCATAAGGAGCTCCTCCGACGGCCCCGGTGGCTGCGTTCGCATGTGGCCACCGCACCCATTTCGGCACACCCCTCACGCGATTGGCGGCGCCATAGGGAGCTCCACCCACGCCTGCAATGGCTGCGTTCGCATGCGCCCACCCTACACATTTGGGTGCACCCCTCACACGTTTCGTGGCCCCACAAGGAACCCCGCCGACGGCTCCAGTGGCTGCATGCCCATGCGCCCGCGATGCCCCCTTTGGCACGCCATTCGCACGCTTCGCAGCTTTATAGGGAGTTCCTCCGAATGCAGTGCATACAACGACGGTGCTCACAACTGCATATGGTTGGGTCCTTCGCCGGGCTAATTTTGGGGGTCCGCGCTGGGCCCCCCCCTCCCTGGCGCACGGAGCGCGGCAGAGGCGGCGCCGCAGGCGGGCCGAGCGCCACTCCAAGAGCTCTGCGCGAGCCTCCAGAGGTTTGTGCTTCGTTTAAGTCGGGCCTGTCCCCCTACAGGGGGGTTGTCGACGAAAAGTAAAACATATTCCGAAATAGTGTCGAAATAGTCCACAAATAGTCTGGGGACTATTTTTAACATATGTTTTGACGTTTTAGGGGCATTTTTGGGGTATGTTTTGTTTTTCGTCGAAAATCCCCTCTGTAGGGGGACAGGCCCGACTTAAGCTTAGTTGGTTTGTTCCTTCGCCCCTGTGGTGGTGTGTGCGCTACGGTGGAAAGCCATGCCAGGGAACACCGTGCTTAGGGGAACAAAAAGTGGCATAAACATAAGAACTCGGAGGTCCGCGCGGATTTCTCGGATTGGCGCTGGGGCCCCCGCGCGGACCTCAGAGTTTTGATGTTTATGCCACTTTTATGTTTATGTCACTTTTTGTTCCCCTAGCGCTTGCCTCCAGGGTGCCCTGGGTTTCTTGGGTTTTGATGGCTCTGCTATGGAAAGCGTGGCGTTCCCACACCAAACATGAGGGCACGTCCTGGGGTCTCATTGTTGGGTTTCTTGTGGAAGGTTTCCTGTGGCCGAGCTCCTGCTGCATTTCGTCTGTTCCTCGCCCCTGTGGCGACGTGTGCGCGCTACGGAGCCCCGCACAGGTGGAGACCCCCGCGGCCTCTGGTCGCGGCCTGCGCCGGCAGCAGGTGCTGTCGCTGTCGCCCGACGAGCCTCAGGTGCAGTTGCTGCGTGCCCTGCAGCGCGGACTGTGAGCCGAACTGCGGCTCTGCAGCTCCAGGCTCGTCCAGGCGTCCTCCCCCTCCTCCCCCTCCTCCTCCTCCTCCTCCTCCTCCTCCTCCTCCTCCTCCTCCTCCTCCTCCTCCTCCTCTTCCATCTTCTTCCTCCCCCGCCACCTGCCTCTTCTCTTCTCTACCGCGTTCCCCGTCCCTCCACGCACCCGACACTTCTCATCTTCCTGCTGTGCCACCACCCCGCCACAATGTACGCGCACGGGGGCCTGTTGCGAGCCTCGACGTCTTCAGCCAGCCGCACTCCTCCTGCGGGCGGGCTCTTTTTTTCCGCGGTCTGGCAGCAGACTCCGCAGGCCGCGCGCAGCAGCCGTCAGCAAAAGATCATCGACGTCTGCACCACCGCCCTGGCCTGCACTCCTGTGGCGCTCCGAGGGCCGGCCGCGGTCCGTGGCCGCTGCCTGCTGCTGCCTGGACCTTGGAGTCGCTCGGTCGTGTGCCTTGTTCCTCGGCGAGGGCCATCGAGGAGCATCGAGGACCTCGGCGCTGCTCGGACGTGTGCGCTTCTGGTCGGCGAGGAGCATCGAGGAGCATCTGGACTCATTTTGAAGTATAACAAAAACGCGCGAAATCGACAACTGCAAGGGGAGTGGACGCCCGAGCGATGGCGAGCGAGGGACTGCCCGCCAGCCGCTTCGGGGGGCGGGGGGGGCGGCTCGCCGGCCCCCGCGCAGCTGCCGGCAGGCCTCGCCGCGTGCCCGGGCAGGCCCCGGCCTCGGGTCGGCCGTCGCCTCCCGTCAGTGTCGTTCGACCGACCCCCGTCCCCCATCACGATCCCCCCCATCACGACCCCCCCCCATCACGATCCCCCCCATCCCCATCCCATCACGATCCCCCCCATCTCTCATCCCCATCACGACCCCCCCCCCATCACGATCCCCATCACGATCCCCCCCAGCCCCATCACGATCCCGCTCATAGCACCCCTGAGGATGTCCCACGCGGGGGCCCCTCGAAACCCGCAGGAAACAGCCTATACCCCCATCTAGTGGAGTACATCTCATGAGGCCCCGTCCCCCAAGCCGTTTTTGGCAACGATTTTGTAAATCCCCCGCCAGATGTTTTTGTATTTTCTGTTTTTTTGTTGAGATTTTTTCATCAGCTGCTGTCGCGCTGCCGACGTGCACCCCAAGTTGGGCATCTGCGTTGCGTGCTGTACCGCGTGCGCGGTGCAGCGCGGGTTGTGCCGTTCGCGCGGCGCCCCGCGGTCGGCGCCGAGGTTGTGGCGTTTCCTCGCGGCGCCGCACGCGAGGTGCCGCGAACGCACCGCCGCGTCTGCAGCCGACGTTGAATTTGTGGTGTCGTGTGCCTGGAGTTGCGGGCGCGGTGTTGCGCGGTGCTTCTTTCGCGTGCGCGTGCGTGCCTTGCGCGCGGTGCACAGTTCGATGCGCATCGTGCTGCGTGCCGGCGCGGTACCGTGCAAATGGCGCCACGTACGTGCTGCCGCGCGAGGTGCCCGGTGTTTGCGTACGGTGCCACGTGTGCGGCGCCGTGTGCGCGGCTTGCGTGGTGCCGCGTGCGTGGCGTTGCGTTGCTGGTGCCGCTCACGGGACCTCCGGTCTGTGCGTGTATGAGGTCTTGCCCAAGCGCGCCGCGCCGCGCCATGCGCGGCACGTTGCGCGGGTCGGGTTGCTCGCGTCGCGGAGGTCTCCCGCCATGCGCGTGCGAAGTACACGGAGAGAGCGGGAGAGGATGAGAGGAGAAGCGAGGGGGGGAAGCTAGGGAGGAAAGGGGGGTCATGCGAGATGGTAGGCGGAAGGGAGGGAAGAGCGGGGGAGGGATGGGGCGGCAAGGGGGGGAGGTGTTTGGAGTAGGGGCAATGGTGCGAGTGCGACAATTGTTAGCACCCCAGTCGCGAGTGGGCTGCCAGCGGTGCGTTAAGGCTGGGCTCTGGGATAACATCATCCCGGCAAAGCAACCTAACAGCGATGTGTATAAGCATATCTGGAAGGATCCCCCTTAAGATACAGGTGAGAATCCAGTTGTAGAATTCTGCTGTTCTCGCAGTCGCAGTCGCATTCGCAATGACCGTCGCAGTGGCAACGGCCTTGGGATCCAATGGAATCCTAAGGATTCCTAAGGATTTCTGAGGATGCTTACTTAACTATGCCTACGGATTCCTAAGGATGCCTACGGATTCCTAAGGATTCCTAGGGATCCCTAAGGACTCCTATGGATTCCTACGGATGCTTCAACCTGCCTCAGTTTCAGCCTCAACCTCAGCCTGCCTCGGCTTGCCTCAGCCTCAGCCTCAGCCTGCCTCGGCCTCAGCCTCAGCCTGCCTCAGCCTCAGCCTCAGCCTGCCTCGGCCTCAGCCTGCGTCAGCCTCAGCCTTAGCCTGCCTCAGCGTCAGCCTGCCTCAGCCCCAGCCTCAGCCTCAGCCTCAGCCTGCCTCGGCTTGCCTCAGCCTCAGCCTCAGCTTGCCTCGGCCTCAGCCTGTCTCAGCCTCAGTCTGCCTCAGCCTCCCCTCCTCCCCCCCCCTTCCCCCCCCATTCAGCCTCACCTTGTCTCAGCTTCGGTCTGCCTCGGCTTCATCCTCAGCCTCAGCCTCAGTCTCAGCCTTAGCCTGTCTCGGCCTGAACCTGCCTCGGCCTCAGCCTCAGCCTGCCTCAGCCTCAGCCTGCCTCAGCCTCAGCCTCAGCCTCAGCCTGTCTCAGGCCCAGCCTGCCTCAGCATCAGCCTCAGCCTCAGCCTCAGCCTGCCTCGGCTTGCCTCGGCATCAGCCTCAGCCTGCCTCGGCCTCAGCTTCAGCCTCAGCCTGCCTCAGCCTTAGCCTCAGCCTTCCTCAGCCTCAGCCTGCCTCATCCTCAGCCTCAGCCTGCCTCGGCCTCAGCCTGCGTCAGCCTCAGCCTCAGCCTGCCTCAGCCTCAGCCTGCCACAGCCTCAGCCTCAGCCTGCCTCGGCGTGCCTCAGCCTCAGCCTCAGCCTGCCTCAGCCTCAGCCTGCCTCAGCTCGGGCATTCAAAATATGGCACAGGACTTGTCTTCAGGGAACACGAAGATCACGAAGTGGCCCACGGTTGGGGAATCAAAATATGCTGCAGGAGTGGTGTTCTGGGAACACGAAGAACACGAAGTGGCCTACAGTTGGCTCCGGGCATTCAAAATTAGCTTGGGAGTTGTGTTCTGAGAACATGAAGAACACGAAGTGGTCTACAGTTGGCTCCTGGCATTCAAAATGTGGCCTGGGAATGGTGTTCTGGGAGCGCGAAGAACACGAAGTGGCCTACAGTTGGTTCCGGGCATTCAAAATGTGGCCTGGGAGTGGTGTTCTGGGAGCACGAAGAACACGAAGTGGCCTACAGTTGGGCCCGGGCATTCAAAATGTGGCCTGGGAGTGGTGTTCTGTTGGCTCCGGGCAGACAAAATGTAGCTCCTGGCAATGAAAATGGGGAGCCCCCAGATTCCCGCTGCACCCGTCCGGCATCTGCCCAGACCCCCTTGGGGAGTCATGATGCTCTCTTTTGAGACCACTAGAAACCTATCAGTCTTCGGTAATATCTGGCGTTCCGGTTCTGGGGTTCCTTTTTTTTTTTTCTCCGCGGCGCCTTGCGCTAAGTCCAGACAGCCAGGGGATGCAGGTGCCTCCCTCCCCTCCCCCTGCCGCCCTCCCCTCCCCCTCCCTCCCGCCCCCCCCCCTCCCGGTCAGGTCCTTTTCTTCCCTCTGTCCGCCTCCCTCTCTCCCTCTGTCCGTTTTCAGCCCCCCCCCTCGTTCCCCCGGGACGAGGCACCCCCGGAACGACCCCCGGGGCCACGATTTTGCCCACGATTTCGCCCACGATTTTGCCAACGATTTCGCCCCACGATTCTGCCCACGATTTTGCCCACGATTTTGCCCACGATTTGCTTCCGATTTTGCAGACGATTCGACTGCCCACGATTTTGACCACGATTTTGAACACGATTTTGTTTCATTATGATTCGAATTAACGGAAAATCGTAAACAAAATCGTGGGCGAAAATCGTGGCTCGTCCCAGGGGTTGCCCCGGGGTGGCCCCACGGGTGGCCCCAGGCGGGGGCCTGGGGGGGTGCCTCGTCCTGGGCCCGGACCGGGGCGCCGCTCCAGGGTGCCCGGCGCGCGGCGGCGGAGGGCGGGGGCGCAGAAGAGGGGGGGGGCCGGGGAGGGGCACTGGGGAGGGGCCGGTAGTGGGTGGAGGACAGGGAAGGGGCGGGCAGGGGCAGGTGGAGGGCAGGGAAGGGGGAGGTGCGCGGGGAGCGGAGGGGAAAGGAGGGGCAAAGGGGCCGCAGCTGTTGGTCTTGAGGGCCGACGCTTTCGGAAACGGCCCACTGAATGCCAGCGCGGCCCCGCCCACCTGTTCAGTCTCGCGCAGTGGCTCCCACGGGGGCCCCGGCCGCTTCTGCCGCGGCGCCGGCGGCCGCGAATGCTCCCGCCAAGCGGGGCTTACTGGAGCAGCGCGTGGTCCTGGTTAGGGCTCGGCGGGAGGCGTTCGCCCCTTTCCGCCGCGTCGCGGCAGGGGGCAGCAGCGGGAGTTAAAGCAGGGAGCGCAATTTGAGGAACGCCACGATATTGACCGTGTGCGCGACGAGGGGTGGCGGCGGGGGCAGGCCCCCCCCGCCCGCGCGCGCCGCTTCGCGTCCCGAGGCCGCGCGCGGCGCGCGAGCCATTCCGGGGCGCGCGGGGCGCGGCGCAAGCGAGGGTGAAAAAACGTTTATTGCGCTCCTCTAAAAGCCGCCGCGAGACACGCGCCCTCTCGATCAGCGATAGAATGAAAGCTCCTGGCTGCTGCGGGCCTCCCAGAAACGACCGCCTTCACTCGAGCGGCATATTGGCTTGTCAAAATTAGTTATCCCAGCGAAGCAACCTAACAGCGATGTGTATAAGCATATCTGGAAGGATCCCCCTTAAGATACAGGTGAGAATCCAGTTGTAGAATTCTGCTGTTCTCGCAGTCGCAGTCGCACTCGCAATGACAGTCGCAGCGGCAACGGCCTTAGGATCCAAT